GACTGGTGAAGAATGTTGCTGCTTGAGCGAGTGTGATTGAAGCCTTGTGCGTAATTGCACACAATCAAAGTGTGTTGTACTTATAATAAGGTCGTTTTGATTTGCTTCGGGATTTGGCTGCAGACTCACTGCTGCTGCCCTTCTGCTGTGAAAAGAGCTGTCATTATTTAAATGACATGTAATGAAGGGTTGATAACTTCATTATAATGCCTCTGACACCCCCTCTTCCCCCCGTGCTTCCTCTCAGGCCTCTTTGCACCTCCATGTGTCTTCAGTGCAATCAGATGAACTGCTGCACAGCAAACACTCCCACCCCCTCGACTCCAATCAGACCTCAGATGTACTCAGGTAAACAACACCAGCACACACTCTGCATCAGGTCGAGTGCACAGATTACTATTACCACCCTGCTGACTGTGTTTCCAGGGTGAGTTTTCTATTTGTAGCCGATTTCAGACCGACGCTGCTTTGTGCACAATGCTGGTAAAAGTTGCCGCATGTTTTAATGTTCATCGATTGGACGTTGAAGCGGTGAAAACTGAAGCGTAACCGTTTTGTATGCCTGTGTTCCTCGACAGATTTGTGCTGGAGCAGTACAACGCCCTCTCCTGGCTGACATGTGACCCGGCTACGCAAGACCGACGATCGTGTCTACCGATTCACTTTGTGGTGCTCAACCAGATGTACAACTTCATCATGAACATGTTGTAGACATCGGGCTGTTACAGGAAGAAGGCGGCGGGGGGTCATGAGTGAAAACCAGTGTACGGAGCTGGATCCTGCACCAAGATGGGATTAGATGGTTTTCCAAGCCTTGCCAGTCCTTCTCCACCACGCCCCCCCTCCCCCATGAGACTGGATATTCTGTCCCTGTGATTTAAAGACATGCACGTAGAGACAAGGGAATAAAAAAGAGGGGAAACTAGAAGCTGAATTCAATGAACGTGAAAGAATGACAGATTGGTTGTCATGATATGTAGCATGGCAGCACAGTCACTGGCCAGTCTGTATCGATGAGACAAGTTTATCTGTAAAATTATTGGAAGAAAAGGGACATATTTGATCAAGGAAAAAACCCAAGAATGGATCTTTGGTTTTAAGACATGAAATTCCTTTTTATTCCTTTGGATGTAATTGTATCCAAACAAAATGCCTGCATTTATCTTATTTATTGTAAGTTTTTAAATGTATAATTTGTCTTATTTCTTAACCTCTTTTATATATAAAAAATGGAGAAGGTTTATATCACCTTCCTGCTTTAAAGCAATTGGTCTAAGATATATGTAATCGTCTTAATAAAAACACCAGAGGAAAAAATCCCATAAAAATGAAAGTCCCAGTAGGTTGCTTTTAGAGTATTATTTTTTGTAATGGAGACAGAATATTTGTATTGTCACAATGTACAGAAGAATTAGAGTGGAGAATTATGTTTCATGCCTTTGAGCGTGAAGACCTTACAGCAAAGCTGTAGCTACAGAGGACTTGTACAGCAATGAACTTCACTGTGTTCAAATAAAGAGGTACATTGTTGTATATAGTATTTTATACCACACATTTAGACACAAAAACCAAACGGCAATATATATAAAATAATTCTATATGAATGCCATGCCAGCAGTTGGTGGTGTGGCTTCTGTTTTAGGAATAAAGTGCGTCAACTTATTTCCCTGTGCTTGTGTTTATTGCCTGGGGGAGGGGGGCTGTGATGTGCAGTTGGACAAGGACACCAATAGCGGAGCGGAGTGACAACTATTGGCATCTCTTGGAAGTAGCTGAGCTCAGGTTTAATCTGATTCCTTTTTTAATCAGTTTATTTTTCTTCGAGAAGAAAATGAAAGCAAGACTGTGAGCACATCCCTTTATTGTAGCGCACCTCTCCGTACTCCCATTGGCTGAGGTCTGCCTCCTGCCACCACTTCTGATTGGTCAGGGACACATTTAGACCACTCCCATTTCAGTGTGAAAGTAAATGTGTGGCGTAAATGACCCTGTTATGGATGGCTGCCCGTTGGACATGCAGCGTTTGTGCAAAGAGAAACATGTTCTGTCCGGATGTTTCCTCCATCTACTGATGTTGCTCTTTATCTTTCATATTAGCCAGCGTCTGTTGGCTTGGACAATTTGACCATTAAAATGTATTTGGTCTTATTTTGAGTGTAGATAAATACATTCAATATTTAATAAACCTATGAAAGTTTATTTTGCCATGTTTTCTTTTTGGAAAATCATGGTTGTTTGCAGTAACCATCAATATCTCTGCAAGCTTGTTACCACACTATTCACATGTGGGAAAAGGCATTGGAATAACCACGCAGAGCCATTTGAGTGGGGCATCTTACTTGTAAATTGCTGAGTTGCCCCTGGGTGGCATGTAGTAGCAGCTGGCAGCTCATTCTTTTGATAATTTTCTGCATTTCTTCTCGCTCTCAGCAACAGAGGGATAAACGGGTCCTGCTCTCCGTTTTCCTTCACTTCTCACCAACTGCAAAAATCTGTATATTCTTCAAAATGTGGAATTTATTCTGACACCAGAAACTGTTTGGGTAAGTACAAATCAAGATTAAATGGAGTTAGAAATGGGCAGGAATCTAAAAGCCCTAATATCTCATCATAAGCGGTATTTGCAAAACATTAGTGTAATCAAAATACTACATATTATTTTTTTAATATTTCCACCAGTCTGGCATAAGCTAGAATAAACCGTTTCCATTGTTGTCTGTCCGTTATAACATAGTCAAACTATAGAAAATTAAAGCGTTTGTAATTAGCTGTAACTATGAAAGAATAGCACGCGCCTATGATCAGAGTGCTCGCGGCACGCGCAGGCTGGAGTAGTCTTTGTTCAGTCATCGCTGCTTCACGGCACCGGCGACATTAGTGCTTTTGCTTTCACAATATCCACAGTGTTCCCTGTGGGTAACGATGAGATTTAGGGTATCTATAATGGAGTGAAAGTACCAAACAACAGCAAAGACGTTTCCACAAACGTGCCGGCACAATCCAGGACAAGTTCCTCTGTTATTGACTTGGAGCTCTCCCAGATCGTGCGACCGCGGGGGCTGACGGTACAGTCTGACGTCTGAAGGCCTCCGCAGTGATAACTGTTTAAAACAGTACGTGTCATCTTAATGAGCCAGGTAAGGGCGTTCTTGTGAATTCGTGTATTTATGTTACACTTACTTTATAGCTTAGACGGACCCGTCAACTCAAGGTTGTCTTGTGACAAACTAGCCTAGCTTTTAGCTCTTAGCTTGCTAGTAGCATGCTAAAAGTCTTCCCAGAAGCGAACTGAATGAGTGTTAGCTACTGCTAGCTCATATGTAGCCTGTAAAACCCCAGCTAAGAGTTCGAGCGATTTTAGCCGAATTGCTGGTGCTTTAAAAAGCATATATTCAAGATTTCTGAAGGTGAGTCCAAATGATATTTTCACAAGAACCCAGAAAACACTAGTTCATGTATTACTCCCAGCAGTTGTTAGCATTTGCTTTAGTTAGTGGTTATAGACGGCTGTTATCTTGTTTCTTTAGTGGCGTGTAACAGCTTTTCTGTTTGTAGTGACTAAACCTATGAACAAGTTATCAAACAAAATCATTACCATCAGCGTACAAGTTACTCTCGCGTTAAAAATGTATATCGAGGAATGAATGGTCACATTATGACAACCGTTAGCTCTGCAACTTAAAGTGTTTGTACTGTTGAAAACAGACTAGTAGACTGTAGAAAAAAATGCATCCAGTTTTCCTCTTTAAACTGTCAGTTTTGTCTGTTTCCCCCAAGGTGTATGCACGGAGCGATGGGAGACAGTGCAGGGCTGCAGTTTGTCAGCTCCTATGCTTTTGAAGCCATGCAGAAGGTGGATGTAGTGCGCCTGGCTGCGTTAAGTGATCCGGAGCTGAGGCTGCTGCTGCCCTGCTTGGTGAGGATGGCGTTATGTGCCCCCGCTGATCAGAGCCAGTCCTGGGCACAGGACAAGAAGCTTATCCTCCGCCTGCTCTCTGGGGTTGAAGCCGTCAACTCCATTGTAGCACTTTTGTCTGTTGACTTTCATGCCTTGGAGCAGGATGCACGGAAGGAGCAGCAGCTTAGGTATGACTTATTTTCACATGGTAACACTATATACTGGTACAGTAGTGGGTTACAGGGTGGGAAAAGCTGCTTATCGGGTCAGACATATACAGCTATATTTGTTACTGTTTAAAAAAAAAAAAGAAAAAAAAAAGCCTACTTGGAGTTAATTTTAGCAGTATACATAATGTATAGGGGTGCAACGATACACAAAATTCATGGTTCGGTTTGATACTTTGGTGTCACGGTTGATATTTTTTTCGATACAAA